AAATCTAAATGAACACTGACAGCATAATAGAACATTACTATGTTGTCAGTGTTCATTTAGAGATATATATATATTTAAAGGCAAAATATAACCCTAAACCACCACCACCAAGGCAGTAGCACAGAAATGGAATCAAAGTTATCATGTAACTAGGCTACTGTTAACATCAAACTTTGGCATATTAAAGATACCTGTGGTAACTTCTCAGAGAAACACCACACAGGACCTACTTATTAGTGGAGGAGAAAAGTATGAAATCATTTTTTAATCCAAATGAAAACAAGAATTGAAGGAAACAGTAACACAGAACAGGCAAGAAATAGGCAATGACAGATACCACTAAGCCGGAATATTTAAAAGCAATATAATGATGTTTATTACTGTAAACAGAATAAATACTGAAGTTTAAAAAAGATTTTTTTTTTTTTTGACCATGCCACACAGCTTGCAGGATCTTAATTCCCCAACCAGGGACTGAACCTAGGCCCCAGCAGTGAAAGTGCTAACTCCTAACCACTGGACCACTAGGTAATTCCCTTAAAAAAGATTTTAGACTGAACAAAGAAAAAAATTTCAACTATGTATTTGTCAGATATATTGAAAACATAATAATGAAAAGCTGACAATATAAAAACAGACATATTTACACTATGCAGTGGTTTGAATATACTAGTATCAGATAAACTGCTGTAAGAGCAAAAATTATCAGGAGAAATAGAATCACTTAGTAACACATAAGCAAAAATATAAATACAGGAAGAAACGAAGTACACCCAATCACAAGTCATGAATATGCCTCTCTTAGTAATTGACAGAACAAATGGCCAAAAGTCAGAATACAGAAGATTTAAACACGGTGATTAAATGCTATGATTAACAAAACTGTTATAATGACACTATAAAGAAAAGCAAAGGATAATCATAAAAAGTAGAACAGTGGTTGTTCTAGAGTATTAGGAGGGAGTTATGATCAGGGAAGGTTTCCAGGGTGCTGGAAATATTTTACTTTCTGACCTAAGTAATGATTAATGGAGTTAACTTCATAATGACTGCCCGGAAACATTTTTTGTGAAGGACCAGACAGAAGTATTTCAGGCTTTCCAGGCAACATAACTCTGTGACATATTCTTCTTTGTCTCTACAACTCAAAAAATCCAAAAATCATTCTTGGCCTGCCAGTTGTAGGCTATAGTCTACCAACTCCTGAACTCAAAGGCTCAGGGTTTGTGCCCTTTTTGTATTTAACAAAAAAATATAGAAGAATCACTTAGGAGGGAAAAAGCTAAAATAATTCTTTATCTGTTTTTATATTCTTCTCTTTCAACAAATAGTCGTGAGTTCCCACTGTGTACCCAACACTGTTTTGGGTGTTAGAGACTAAAAACTGAACAAGATCTCTCTTCTATGCCAAGGAGTGAGGGAAATAGTTAAAATGATTACACCTTTATGTAACGAACAGTGTAAGAGATGGAAACAGCAGTAAATGAAACAAAGGTACAGTTTTCTTGGGATTAACATTCTGGTGGAAGATGATGGGCAACAAACTAACTGTATAGTTAAAAATTAAGATATGTAAATTAAATAAAAATATTAAAATTATGCCACACAATGACAACAGTGAGTGATGTACAACACACAACATGGATGACTTTCACCAAAGTAATGTTGAATGAAAAAAACTAGACACCAGAGTATATTATATACTGTATGATTCCTTTTATACACTGTATAAAAAGAAAAAAAAAAAAACTCATCTATGCTACTACTAGAAGTCAGGACAGTAGCTATCCCCAGTGGCAGGGAGGGGGCTAATAACTGAAAGGGAACACAAGGGACTTTCTGGAAGGGCTGGTATTTTGTTTCTTGTGCTAGTATAGCTGGTGAAAATTCATTAAGCTGTAGATGTACATGTATACTCTTCTATATGTATAAATATGAATCAACAAAAATTGAAATATATATATCAAATTTTAAATACATATGCCAGATAGTAATAGCTAAGAATTAAAGCAGGATTAGGGACAGAGTTACAAGGTGAGAGGGACTGTTATTCAAAGAAGTTGGTCAGGAGAGACCTCTCTTGACAAGGTCATTTTTGAGCAACAGTCTGATGAAGGACTTGCTCATCATGCTATTCTTGGAAGAGGAAATAGCAGGTACAAAGGCGCTAAAGTAAAGAGTGCCTCAGAGTGTTCACAGAACTTCCAGGAGGCCAGTGTGGCTTGAGTGGCATGAGTGAGAAGGGGAGCACATGGAGTCAGATGGACGTGGGCAGCAAAGATTATGTAGGAGCTTCTAGACCATGTAAGCCTAGAACAGTCTGGACAAGCCCCTGGCCAATTCTGAACAGGATCTGACTTAAATTTTTCACAGAATCATTCTGGCTACTTACTATATTGAAAATAGGTGAGACACAGGCAGAAACAAGGAGACTACTTTGGAGACTGATTCAGAGAACCAAATGAATAGAAAAGAGGGTGGATTCGGGAATTTTTTTAAAAGAAAATAAGATTTTGATGGATTAGATATGGGGCATGAAGTTATGATCTGAAAAACTGGACACAGTAAACTGTTATCAATAGGGACAGGGTAGACTGCAAAGAGAGCAATTTGTTGTTGTGCTAGTGAGCAAGAGTTCCTCTGTGGATTTTTTAAAAAATTATTTATTTATCTATTTATTTTTGGCTGCCCTGGGTCTTCATTGCTGTGTACAGGCTTCTCATTGAGGTGGCTTCTCTTGTTGCAGAGCACAGGCTCTAGGATGCATGGGCTCAGTAGGTGTGGCGCACAACCTTAGTTGCTCTGTGGCACGTAGAATCTTCCCAGACCAGGAATCGAACCCATGTTCCCTGAACTGGCAGGCAGATTCCCAACCACTGGACCACCAGGGAAGTCCTAGAGATGTTTTTTTAAGCTGCTCATTTAGTTATATAAGCAGAAATGTCAAGGAGAGGTGCATTATGTAATTTGCAGGGAAATCAATGCCCAAGTAAATGGCTGGCCAGTTCATGCATCCTAAAAGGCAGATATGGATAAGGACACAAATAACCTGGTAGATCTGGCAGAGGCACATGGGAAAGTTCTCTTTTGATTGCTTCTATTTTCCTAGTAAAATAAAAAAGTCAAGTCATCAGTTGAGAGGGTAGAGGGGAAGGAATTGCTGCTGGAAGATTGCAGGAAATGACAAAAATATGAAATATTCATCTAGGAGAGTGAATTAACTATGGAAATATAATAGGACTGGCAGCAACTCAGAGGCTCATGAGGTTGGGGGGTCACAAACTTAAAGTGAGATCAGTCAGCACAGGTATATGTACTTTCCTCTAACCAGGCTGAACTGCTTAGATACAGGCAAGGAAAAGATGGAAAATTAGATTTAATCAGGGCTGAGTTTTTTTCAGGCAAGTATGATGGAGAGAGTGGGGAAAGGGAATTGAAGAGTATACACAAATCAGTGATTATAACAGTGAAGCACAGAATCTAAGATAGGAGGATAAAATGCAATGGAAAAAGGAAATTAAGGTTGGTTTCTATTTTAACACCCAAGACATACTTAGATTTGCACGATAATGAGGCCCAGCCACCATTCACAGAGGTGGCAGGACTGTCTGTGGATCACTTGAGTACCTCTCTCTTGTCTTCATTTAAGACCTGATTTACATGGACACATGATAGATGGGTGGTCACATTACTAAAAACCAAATGAAAAAAAATCTTTTTCAGGAAGAAAAGAGTAGTAAGACAACAAAATTCTACAAATCATATTTGTCCCAAATAGATAATTCTGCAATCCCATTTAACATTTTAAAACTTGTAACTGGTTTAAAACAATAAAAATACAAATCTAGGTCTCCTCAAAAGTTAGCTAACAAACCTCAACCTAACCAGATTTATACATTGAACATTTATAATATTTTTAAATATGGCAATGATGACAAAGTAATAGAAAAAATTTCAAGTTGAATACATTTTCCTAAGTGCTTTACTAATTATAATCACCCTAATAAACGCATGTATTCATGAGACAGAGAGGGAAAGAAGAACATTTTTAAATAGTTTAACAATATAGAGACTAAATCACTTAAGAAAAAAAGCAATATCAATCAAGTCTGCTGAGGCAGAGAAAAGCAAGTTTCTGAAACAGAGACCTAGGATGAAAACTCCTGGTCTCCCTTTTCCCTAAGATCCCACAGCAATACCTGAGGCATCAAGGAACATAATACACTCTTATGTACAGGGTTCTCATATGGTATCAACAAATCAGCCAAAGGCACTTGAGTGAACTAACACAAAATCCTACATGAGCTGGTTCAGGGACTCTCAACTTTGGCACTAATACCATTCTGGACTGGATCATTCTTTGCTGTGGGCACCTGTCCTGTGCATGTCAGATGTACACCAGAATCCCTGGCCTCTGCCCAGCAGCTGCCTATGGCATCATTCCACCCACCTTCTAATTCTGACCAAAAATTGCTTCAACATTGCCAAATGTCCCCTGAGGGGTAAACCACCCCGGCCGGAGAACCACTAACTTGGCTGTGATGTTTTTATGGAGTTTTATCTCACTCACAGGCAGAAAACAAACCTACCCCAAACCTGTGCAGCATTAGCTGCTCTATATCACTGGGCAAGCCATAAAATTAATTCAAACACCAGGAGCTGACCAAAATGTTTTGAAAGGAATTAACTACAGGAATATGTAAGTCTGGCCAGGATAAAAACCTAATGTTTGGATGGGAAACCTCTTTCTCGATAGAACAATGAGCTGCAGGCCTAGAAGTAATCAATTTATACTGAGAGAACAGGATCAGCTCTTATAAAATGTAAACTGACTGATACAGATCTGAATCTAAGTTAAGTGATTCACAGGTAATGCTATGAACGTTGCTCCTTAAGACGTCACCCCCCTTGGGTAATTAATGGAAGAGAAACTGCTTGAGTGTTCCTGGGCTTCTTGGTCTCCTGCAACAGGTGCCACATTTCTCCAGGTGAATGCTTACCGGCAAGGGATTGGATAAGGAATGTTGCGGTGAGGATCGTGCAACTGGTGGAACACTTCTGCCAGGGCTGGTTCCTGGCCCGCTTCCCCCAGCAAACTGGCCAACAGGGAAAAATGGATATGAATAATTCACAACAGTACTATGCTTCAGATAAGGAGAGTAAAAGATTAATACACAAACAGGTCTTAATTATACACGGTCCCTTTAAGTCTACACATTTTATTCTAGAGAGAAAATGCCATGTAAGTCAAATTCTGCTATCTTTCCAATGAGATTTTAATGAGAAGCTCCAGCAGAAATGTACCAAGATATAAGGAAAACATGGCTAGAAACCTGAGGTACACATGATTTTGAAAAGACATAAGAGAAGAATGTTTTCCCTTCTTGTCTCAAAATACATGAAGCAGGAATACAGTGCATGTTAGTGTCCCCTTCAGTAACCATAACGATGGGTCAGTGAGCTTACTACAGGTAGAGGTTCCACTGGACTACAGGTAGAGGACAAAAGAAGAGTCCAAGTCATTCCACTTCAACCTTGTAAGACAAAAAACCTAGTCTGGCCAAGAGAGCAATCACCTCATTTGTGAATTTTTATATCATCACAGACAAGACACATCATGAACAAATTTAAATTTAGGAAGTCAGCAGCTGTTTCCTCTTATAGAGATGGGGCAACATCAGGTTGATGAAGGTGGGGAGGAAGGGGAGGAGAGCACAGTAAAGGCAATATATTCCTTTCTAAAGCTTTAAATGAATGAAAGGATTTAGGTTCTTTTTTTTTTTTAAGTCACTATAGATTTCTTTTTCCAAAAATTTAACTTACCTCAAAGTAATCACTAATTTTATGTCCCCTAGGAGTGCCTTTCCCTGAAAATAAAACCAAAGTAAGTATAGTTTTTCCAGTAACACAAGTAAACCATCATTTGCTAAAGTGTATTATGTATTCAATGACTGCCTATGCTGTTACCAATTCAAATGTCAACTTTACTTTTAACAAATGAGCCAAAATACCTGTTTTCTAAGAACAGAAGACAGTTTCCACCACAAAATAAAACACTGAAATAAGCAGTGAAAGAAAGACCTTTTCACAGCTTGCTTTCCTTTAAGATTCACTACTCTTTGTTTTACAAGTACACTAACAAAGCTTATGCCACAACTGTGAATCAAAGTAAAACTAAAATATAAACTACACCCCCAACTAAGAGGATAAAAAAATTCAAAACAAATTCATCAGAACTAAATGGTTTATTCTATTTCACAAGTAAGTTTATGTGACCTTGTTACTTCGGGAAAATTTTCTCCCACAAAAGTAAAGAATGATTTGCAGATTGAAAGATACAAAATGGGGGGGGGGAGGCCTTTCATTTCTTGAAAGCTCTTCCATTTCATTTATTCTTTCTTTAATTATTTAAAGAAACCTGGCATTATGACCATCATATTTACAGATTTATTCCACTGGGTGCCAATTATTCAATTGAGTAACTGACATGGAAGAAGGGTAGGTAAAAGGACAGCCATGTAAATGAAACCATTTCTGCTTGCCTATTATTAACAAACCACTGATCTGGTGCAAGACATAGTTAAAACTGCTATGTAATCTCTTTTCTGTACAATAAATGCTTAGTCTGAAGACAAATCCATGGTGAGAAGACTATTAATTTACAACAGGGAAAACCAGAAAATCCCCACAGAACTGACACTGTTTTGTCAAGTGTGTATCAAATGTCAAGTCTATCATAAACAGGCAGATATTCCCTTAAGGAATGCAAATCTCCATTGTTAGGAATCCCTGTACATACACAAACTAATTCGTGTGAGCTGGAAGTTTTATACCTAAGTACATAAGAATTGATACTTTTACTGGTGTGAAATTATTACTACCTTGGCTAGTTTCATATGGTTCAGCTTTTCTTTTCCGGTTTCGCTGGTCATTCTGTTTTTTCTCAGGAGTCTGTTAAATACCATATACATCACAATTAGCATTTTGTTAAATTTTTCACGTTATGAAAATTAGAGTGTATGTAAAAAATATCAAATTTATGAGGAGAATTAACTGGCTCAGAAGTCCTAAATGAGTGTCCTGCTCTTAGAGCAGGGTCATGGAAAGAATATAAGATCTGGAATCAAACCATTTATACAATTTTTGGCCAACTGCTTAAAATATCAGAGCTTTAATTTACTTATGTGTAAATCAGGGTTGCTGCAAAAGTTTAAATGAGCTATTTTATAAAGCACAAATGTAGTACAAGCATCTAGCATATAGTAGGCTCTCAAATAACAGCTGTTACAATATTTTTTTCTTTTTGAGGCCATGCCATGCAACTTGTGGGATAGTCGTTCCCTGACCAGGGACTGAAAATCCAGACCCCAGCAGTGAAAGCACTGAGTCCTAACCATTGGACCACCAGGGAATCCCAATATTTCTACTTTAAAAGAGCTTAAATCTAAAATTTTTTTTCCAAAAAAAGAAGTATCTGCATGATCAGTCAACTAACTAGTCTATTCAAAGTCTTATCTAAGTGCAAAGTAAGCAGTTATATATTCAGCTAGGTTATTTGCCTTTAAAAAACAAAAAACTTCAAATTTTGTTACTGAAGTCTTTCAGGCCAAACTGATTCACTCTGCTGAAGCACTAAGAAGTGCTAAAATTCAAGGAAACCTATACTAATTCAGCTACAACTGCAAATTTCTACCTTTTATTGATTATTATGATTACAGTAATAAAAACCCATCAGGGCCACATGACAACTGTGCAGACACAAAGGGCACACAACTCTAAGGGGAATCATTCACAATGACCCTAACGGGACCCCAGAGTCTGCAGTGCTATGGTTTAACCCAGATCTAAAGTGTGGGAATATGAGAAGTCTTGCAATGGATGTGGCTTCTTACCTCTACTTCTTTATCACTCAAGGACCCCACGCTGCACAAGCTCTGGTTGGAAGACTCACTATTGAGTGGCCCCTGAAAAGAAAAAAACAAAAAGGAATCAAAAGAAACTAAGATGAGAGCAAAAAGGAGGAAGAAGCCATGTGATTGTGATATCTACATCAAGTCAAAGAAACCAAGAATTAACTGCAACACCTCTGGGCCAACTTGAAAAGAACTCCATCCATCATATAGTAGAGGGCACTCATGTTAAAATTCTCTACCTAATGTTATTTTCATTTCCTTTATAAACTCTGAACTCCTGTGCAAACTTTCCCCTTCTAGAGTACTTCCACATGGACCAACTTCATTCTTTAAGGAAAATAAGCAAGGAAAAAACGATTCTCGTGATTCTTGTATCTTACAGTCGATATCTGAAAGTTGAGATGTTAAGGATATGTCAAAGGTTCCTCCCGAGGGGGTGATCAGAGACCATAATGAAGGAAACACTTTTTTGAGTCATGCTTTAAAGAGACTGCCAGTTCAAAAAACAGTTACAGGAGACTGACCTCTAAGCCTAACAGCTTGAGGATCTCTGCTAGCCTGCTGCTCAGAGAAACTGATGAAAATTATTTTTTAAAACCACCATTCAAAGCCTCTGACAATGGTCCCTAAGGGCAAAGAGCTAACAAAGAAACAACCATTCAATAAAATCTAGGAAAAATTTAGCCTGCAAGGTGAAAGTCTGTGGTACCTGAACTAAGGTCCCGCTTTTCTCCCCATATCCCACCCTCCCATCTCAGCAGGGTTCCCGACTGCTGCAGCCAAGAGCACAAGATCCCTCCTCCCCCAGCTCTCGGCCGAGGGCTCTCTTTCTGAGGAGCAGGACTTCAGGATTCTCATTCCGCCCCCAGCACTCTGTCACTGAAGCTGCGTCCCAACCAAGTACGGCAAAGTCAGGGGGCTTCCATCTGCCTGACACTGACTTGTGGAAGGCAGGCTCTGCCTTCGCTTGGTACACGGAGAATACCGGGACTCCAACAGGCTTCTCGCCCAGCTCTTAAGGTAGTAGCTCCGCATTATGAGAGACAAGCTACTGTGTGCACCCCATCTACACCTCTGCTCCTGGTGTTCAGCTCCTAGAGGCTAAATGTCACTCACAGAAAAGTGTTACTCATTGTCCCCACCCCCAACACCAGAACCCTGGCTTAGATATTTTGCCGGGGGTAAAACGCTGCAACATATAGTACCAAATCTCTTCCCAAAGGACCTGACTTCATTCTCAACAGAGTGTGGACAAGTTTAAATCTACAGATATTCAATAGAGACTGCGGCAAAAGGCAAGTGGGAAAATATTTGTGTAATGAGGATACAGCCTAGACTGTAGGTCAGTTAGTTAGCGAGAGAGAACCAAGGAATAAGGCCCCACCAGGGAGGAGTCATCCTGCGGTCAGAACAAATAGCAAACATTCGTCAAACAGGTATGACCTAAATCAAATCCCTTACGATTATACAGTGGAAGTGAGAAATAGATTCAAGGGATTAGATCTGACAGACAGAGTACCTGATGAACTGTGGACGCAGGTTTGTGACATTGTACAGGAGACAGGGATCAAGACCATCCCCAAGGGGAAAAAAAATGCAAAAAAGCAAAATGGCTGGAGGAGGCCTTACAAATAGCTGTGAAAAGAAAAGAAGCGAAAAATAAAGAAGAAAAGGAAAGATATACCCATTTGAATGCAGAGTTCCAAAGAATAGCAAGGAGAGATAAGAAAGCCTCCCTCAGCGATCAGTGCAAAGAAATAGAGGAAAACAACAGAATGGGAAAGACAAGATTTCTTCAAGAAAATTAGAGATACCAAGGGAACATTTCATGCAAAGATGGGTTCAATAAAGTACAGAAATGGTATGGGCCTAACAGAAGCAGAAGATATTAAGAACAGGTGGCAAGAATACACAGAAGAACTATATAAAAAAGATCTTCATGACCCAGATAATCATGATGGTATGATCACTAACCTAGAGCCAGACATCCTGGAATGTGAAGTCAGGTGGGCCTTAGGAAGCATCACTACAAACAAAGCTAGTGGAGGTGAGGGAATTCCAGTTGAGCTATTTCAAATCCTAGAAAATGATGCTGTGAAAGTGCTGCACTCAATATGCCAGCAAATTTGGAAAACTCAGCAGTGGCCACAGGACTGGAAAAGGTCAGTATTCATTCCAATCCCAAGGAAAGGCAATGCGAAAGAATACTTAAACTACTACACAATTGTACTCATCACACACGCTAATAAAGTAATGCTCAAAATTCTCCAAGCCAGGCTTCAACAGTACGTGAACCGTGAACTTCCAGATGTTCAAGCTGGTTTTAGAAAAGATAGAGGAACCAGAGATCAAATTGCCAATTCCGTTGGATTATCGAAAAAGCAAGAGAGTTCCAGAAAGACATCTATTTCTGCTTTATTGACTATGCCAAAGCCTTTGACTGTGTGGATTATCACAAACTGTGGAAAATTCTTAAGGAGAAGGGAATACCAGACTACCTGACCTGCCTATTGAGAAATCTGTATGTAGGTCAGGAAGTAACAGAACTGGACATGGAACAACAGACTGGTTCCAAACAGGAAAAAGAGGACGTTAAAACTGTATATTGTCACCCTGCTTATTTAACTTATATGCAGAGTACATCATGAGAAATGCTGGGCTGGATGAAGCACAAGCTGGAATCAAGATTGCCAGAAGAAATATCAATAACCTCAGATATGCAGATGACACCACCCTTAAGGCAGAAAGCAAAGAACTAAAGAGCCTCTTGATGAAATGAAAGAGGAGAGTGAAAAGTTGGCTTAAGGACCAACATTCAAAAAACTAAAATCATGTCATCTGGTCCCATCACTTCATGGCAAATATGGGGAAACAGTGCAAACAGTGACAGACTTTATTTTTTTTGGCTCCAAAATCACTGCAGATGGTGATTGCAGCCATTAAGTTAAAAGATGCTTACTCCTTGGGAGGAAAGTTATGACCAACCTAGGCAGCATATTAAAAGGCTTTACCAACAAAGGTCCATCTAGTCAAGGCTATGGTTTTTCCAGTAGTCATGTATGGATGTGAAAGCTGGACTATAAAGAAAGCAGAGCACCGAAGAACTGATGGTTTTGAACTGTGGTGTTGGAGAAGACTCTTGAGAGTCCCTTGGACTGCAAGGAGATCCAACCAGTCAATCCTAAAGGGAATGAGTCCTGAATATTCATTGGAAGGACTGATGTTGAAACTGAAACTCCAATACTTTGGCCACCTGATGCAAAGAGCTGACTCATTTGAAAAGACCCTGATGCTGGGAAAGATTGAAGGCAAGAGGAGACAGAGGATGAGATGGTTGGATGGCATTACCAACTTAATGGACATGAGTTTGAGTAAACTCCAGGAGTTGGTGATGGACAGGGAGGCCTGGCATGCTGCAGTCCATGGGGTCACAAAGAGTCGGACACAACTGAGCGACTAAACTGAACTGAACTGAGAGGGGCTCACGAGAAGAAGTGAACTGACAGAAGAAATAATTAGCAAATCGGAAGACAGATCAATAGATTATGCAAGCTGAAAAATAAACAAACAATTAAAAAAAAAGAAGAAAAATGAACAGAGCTTCAAAGAAATGTGGAAAACTGTTAAGTACATTGCCATGTACATAATTAGGATACCCAGAAAGAGAGGAGAGCAAGAAAGGAGCAGAAAAAAATTTTTGAAGAAATTGTCTGAAATTCCCTTAAATCATTAAAAAATAATAATAATAACTTACTGATACAAGAAGCTTGATGAACTCCAAGCAGGATAAACATAAAAAGCCTCATAAACAAACATACTGTAGGAAAAACACTTGATGGAAGGTAAAGAAACAGAAAATCTTGAAAGCAGAAACGCAACACGTCACTTACAAGGGAATTCAAGTAAGATTAACAGGTGATTTCTGAGCAAAAACAATCATGTCCAAAAGGCAGCAGGATAATATATTCAAGGTGTGAGGTACGGAGGCAGGGAATGTTGGGTCAACCAACACTCATACATTGAGCAAAGTGTTCTTTCAAAATGAAAGCAAAGGAAAGAGTTCTCAGATAAATAAAAAAGAAACTTCCTCAACCCAACAAAAGGGCAACTACAGAAAAAACAAACAAACCCTACAGTTCACATCATAATTAACAGTTAAAGACTGGAAGCTTTCTCCTAAGATCCAAAACAAGACAAGGATGTTTGCTCTCACCCACATATTCAACATTATACTAGAAGTTCTAGGCAGGAATTATACCAAAAAAAAAAAAAAAGTAATAATAGTAATAAAAATAAATAAGGCATTCAGATTGAAAAGGAAGAATTAAAACTATGCCATTCCCAGAAGATATACTATTGTACATATAAAACCAAAAAGGATCCACTAAAATACTACCTAAACTAACAAGTTCATAAAGATTGTAGGATACAAGATCAATATACAAAAATCTGTGTTATTTCTATAATCTTGCAATGAATAATCTGAAATGAAGTTAAGAAAGCAATTCCATTCTCATTAGCATCAAAGAGAATGAACTACCTAGATATAAACAAAAGAAATATGAAACATATACTCTAAAAACTACCTTAAAAGCTACTGCAAGAAATTAAAGATCTAAATAAATGGAAAAACATCCCATGTTCATGAACAGGAATACTTAACACTGTCAGGATAGCAGTTCTCTCTCAGCTGATCTATAGATTTAATGGAATCCCCGGTAGAAATCCAAGTGACTTCTTTGTAGAAACTGACAAGCTGATTCTAAAATTCATAGAGAACGGGGACTTTCTGGGAAGTCCAGTAGTTAAGACCCCACACTTCTACTACAAGGGACACAGATTCCACCCCTGATCAGGGAACTAAGATTCTACATGCTGTATTGCATGCCCCTGCCCTCAAAAAAAAAGGAAAAAAAGGAATTATAAAGGACCAAAATAACCCTGAAAAAGAAGGTGAACTCACATTTTCTGACTTCAAGACTTACCACAAACAAAACTAATCAAGATAGTGTAGTACTGACATAAAGATGGACCAATGGAAAAGAACTGAG